GGCTAGTAGTGGCTTTAATGTTTTTATTGTACTGCACTGAAAAGAGTTGGAAGTTAATGATTTTTGTTTTTCTTCCTTACCCCCACTTTTCTCTCTCCCTTCTTCCCTTTCCCCATTTTCCTATATTTCACTTGTATATTTGTATAACTTTAATAAAATTATAAACATGGAATGAAACTGGATAACTGCTTAAAAGCCTTCATTGTCTCTTTATGATGAATCTCTTAACTGCCATTTCCTCTTTCTGCTCATGTGCTTTGCCTGAAAGGCTTGAAAAATCCCAAAAAACCAAATGTTTTCCTACTTACAAATCTTAAAAACTCCATATTCAGCAGTGGGTTGGATTTAAAGCAGGATGCAATTGCATCTGCCATCATTGTTCATCCCTACTGCCTTGTCCACAGGCTAAAATGTTTCCGAAATGGAGATTTCACAGTAAAGCATTTTTACCTGAAATGTTATCTTTGCCTTGTTTTTCTCAGAAAGTTCTGAGTCGTGTTTTGTTCCTGACGCCTCGCTTGCCATCTTTCTTCCTGAGAAATCGCTTGAGGAGCCATCTCTCTGAGCTGCATTATCTGGACCAAGCAATGGTGAAACTGGGAGTAAGCCAACTGACAGATGAGGAAGCGCAAGTGGTAAGATAAATTTGTATGAGGTGGATGATTGACCCTTGTGGTTGACTGCGGACTAATTATTATTCATCTTCTGCTTTAATCCTCATAAGTGCTGGGCAGTTTACAAACAAGTAATAGTCAAAGTTACCAGTCTGAGAACCAATATGGACTTTCTGTGACTAATAATGGGATGGCTTATTCAACAAACTGGGTATAAATTAGTTTAGCATATTGTGGGCAAAGAAGGACAACTGTGAGCACTATCTTACCATGCTTTTAGTTGTACAGGAATGCTATGGAAGGGAGGGAGGGGGATGTCTCCCTATCTGTCTTTGCAGCTGCGAGAGGGTACATTAATGGTCTAGGCAAATAGATAAATCTAGATTCTAGAGGGATTAGCTCCTTCTCCCAGTGGCCCTAAATGTATTGATTTTTAGCTCCTGTCAAAAATATCAGTACAATTCCAAAGGCCAAAGGCCATGCTCCAAATATTTGAGGCCATATGCAACTGAGGGTTATGTGCCTCTTATATGTAACACCAACACGGCTATTTCTTGGATTTGATGATTCTTTGTGACATGAAAGCATCTCGCTGCATTCCAAGGGGTCCCTCTGATTTTTGCAGGCATGCTATACCCGTGGCTTGAATTCCATTCATCTGGATCCAGAAGATTGTAGGCTCTGGTTGAACCGGTGGCTATCACTCTCCAGTTCACTAAGAGGTAAGATTGGCTGAACCATTGGAAGGAGGATTAGTATTATAACTGTTCTGGAAAAATTTCTCGCATCAAAACTCACACCCACGCACTCACCTGCCCCTCTCTGCCTAACTAGGTGTCTGTGGAAATAAAACCTAAAAGGGAGCTAACTATAGATAAGTCAAGAACATTAAAGTAGAATCTCTTAATAATTAAAAATATTATTGCTGAGTTATTGTGTCACAAACTGTACTGATCATAAGCCATGCCATAGTGACATATGATAGTAGTCCTCAACAATATTTGAGATCAGAATTTCCATCACTAAGTGATGTCATATAGCAATGATCACTAAGTGATGTCATATAGCTTAACAAAGGCAATCCCAGGAAACCTGTGGCCATTGTTAAGCAAGGACCTCCTCACAACTTCATGTAGGTTTCCAGCAACCAGTCAGTGGGGAAGCTGACAGGAAGTTGCAAGCTTCAGGTAGCTCATAAACAGGTCAGTGGGCAGCTAAGTGGCAGCTGGGGAAGGTTGCGTGGGTGGCAAAAATGGCTGCTGCCATGTGGAGTGTGCCTGTGGATTGCTAGTGCAGTGCCAACCCAGTGTGACTGGCTGCTGCTGAATGGAGGAGACTTACCCTAACAACTTGCAATCTTCCCTGCTGGCTTCTCCATTGACTTTGCTTTTGGGAAGCCACAGGGAAGGTGGAAAATGATCATGTGACCATGGATGCTGCAACTGTCATTAACACGAAACGGTTACCAAACACTAAGTTTATAGTGAGATGGTACAGAGGTGCGGGGACATCCAAAATATTGACTGGTCATAAGCTGACTCATTTCAGTGCTGTTGTAACTTTGAATGGTGAATTGGTGGTTTTTAACCCAGGATTACCTATAAAGTTAGGTAAGTAGTATTGTATACTACACAGCAGAAGATGATTTCTTTGGGATATTATCTGGTTATTATCTGGGGTAAAAATCTTAATTTCCTGGAGTTCAAGTCAGGGAAACTTTTCTGCAGTGGTAAACGTCAGGCATTGACCAAGAAATTCCAAAAGAAGTTGGAAAACCGTGGTGGAAAATGGGGATTCTCATCTAACAAGCCACAAATATATAATTATATAGGTAACACAAGTAGTCCTTGACTTACAATCATAATGGAGCCCAAAATTTCAGTTGCTAAGCAAGAAAGTTGAGTTGTGCCATGTTTTATGATCTTTTTTGCCATAGTTAAGTGCAATTGTTAAGTGAATCTGGCTTCCTCCATTGACTTGTCAGAAGCCAGCTGGGAAGGTTACAAATGATCACATGACCCCAGGACAGTGCAACTGTCAAGCACGGTTGTCAAGTGCTTGAATTTCAATATTGTGTCCATGGGGATGCTACAACAGTCATGTGAAAGCCTCTCATAAATCACTTTTTCAGTGTTGTTGTAACTTCAAATCATAACTGAATAAATGGCTGCAAGTTTGAGGACTACTTGCATCCATATATGTTGCCAGCTGAGTTCTTGGAATGCTTTCATCTCGTCTCCATTTAATTGTTTCAATTTTGTGTGTGTATTTTAGGATGGATCATTGTAACATTTAGCTCTGGCTAGGTGATGTCCTGCATTTTTGAGTGCTCTTGCTGCTTTAGTTTAATAAATGACACAAAATGAAAATCTCAGTTTCAATGTTTAATAAAAATTTTAAGGCTTCTTGGCCAGATAAGTCTTCAAAGATCAAAATCCCAAGTGAAGGATCCAGTTAAGCAGAGTTGGGCGTATTCCAGTGCCTTTTATGCCCTCCTTTCTCATTAATATATTCTCTGATCATTTGTCCCTGATCTTCATTTTTCTCCACGTCTTATTTAAACTTAAAAGTTATTTTTTTTAAAAAAAAAGGGAACTCAATATATGTTCAATCGACAGTTTGACCTAAGCTTTTGAATATGTGATAACTTCATATGGCAATACAAACTCAAAAAAAGATTCCAGTCAAACAACAAATAAAAGTTGGCTAAAAAATACATAATACTTCTGCAGGCTTAGTTGTGCAGAGGATAAAAACACGTCACATTTTATTTCTTGAAATACACAGTCCAGACCTTGGGGCAACATGGACCCTTTCTCTGTGTAACGAGTATCAAATCGTGGTAGGAATTTGTCATGTCAGAAGCTGTGACGCTGCTACAAAAAATTAACAGAAACAAGCCAACTGATGCATTGCAAGGAAGGGGCCACAGAGAAGATGGTTGTAAATAGAAAAATACTTAAGACTACAATACCAGGAAAGCTTAGCATTCTATCCGTAAATATAATGAAGTTCTTAGCTATAGAAACATAGCAAAAATCGGATTTAACCTTCTAAACCAAAATAATTTATATTTAAAATGAATGGTTTATTGAGGAGACAGTAAGTGAAGCAGGTAAGTCTTGTTCTTCCTAACCTTTCAGAAGGGATTGAGAATTGTCTCCTTCCCATTTCTGTATGTCTTAATTTCTCTTTGCAATCAAAATTAGTGTTAAAATGTTTATGAATATAATCCAGTGAAATAGAAAATTGCTCTCTTTTCAGACTCTGAGGCTTCACTCTTGGCACACGCGATGGTCTTACTTTCTATCAACTTCACTCCTCCTTCCTCTAAGCGGTAACCGGAAACAGCCCCTTCTGGATTATTGAATATATGCCGTATATTGTCTGTTGGCTGAACCAGAAAGGGGAATACGTTTTATTTTCATTGACTCAGGAAAAAAGGGTGTGTGTGTGTGGATGGGTTGGAAGGCAAGAATCCAGCAGAAGACACTCCAGTGAATTTGTTAGTGTAGAGGTGACACTAGAAGAAACTGCAGTACGAATAAAATTCTCCCACTGACTGCTTTGAGTGAAGACAATTGCTAAGATACGCAACAAAATACCTCTGCTGTATATTTCACTAACTTTGCATTTAAGCCTGGTTCAGTTATGATCTCACAGGCCTCTTTCTTGGATTGTCAAAATATATGACTGTTCAGGCTTGTCAGTCCAAAATCTTGCTAATAATGCTTGAGGCAAATTCTTCTGCTGGAAAGACACATCAACTCCCTCAAATGGCTACAATGAAGTTTGTTTCATATTGGCCAGGAACCCGTATAAATATATTTTTAAAAATGAACAATTGCAGAATGCACATTGGTACAATGCAGCTTTTTTTTT